GGGAGGGAGAAGCCAGCTACAAATAATTTAAAGTGAGATTCACGCACGGCTGAACTGATGGCAGAAGAAGTGGGAAAAGGAATGAAAGATTAAAGGGGTCTGTCACTTCGGGTTACAAACAATGGTCCTACGAGCACGTTGCATTCCCAGGCACGGCAAGGATGGGGCAGGGCGCGGAGCAGAGACCTGGTCCCTGGGGGTGAGATGCATTAATGCCTGTGGCACGGAGCCTGCACCCCTTGCTTTCACCACTCGCCTCTCCTCCGGCGCTGGGCTCAGGAGATGCACCCAGCATCCCTGCTCTGATGGCTGCGTCTACAACTGCTTCCAGGAAGAGCTCGGAGCTCCAGCTCTGCTATTGAGGGACACACAGAGTGCAGGTCACCAGCCTCAAGGCTTGCTCCACACCAGAACAGTTCTGAGTAACCACATGGGATGGCCTGGGTGCTTGGAGCTCGTCCTGCACTCTCTGCTGCCAAACGAGGAGCGCTGTGAGGGGCTCATCTGCTCTGCTGCACCAGCCCCACCTCCATCCTTCCCCTGTGCTGTGTGTCCACCCCAGGAGTGGGATCCCACCAGTGCTGGGAGCCTGAGCTGAGCCGTACCCAAGAGCTCAGGACTGTGGCAAGGGTCCAGGGGCTGCGGGAGTCCCTGCACCCACCTGTCATGGCCCTGACAGCAAGAAGGACTGCGGCGGCACCTGAGACAAGCGAGTTGCAAGTCACCAGCCGCCAAGAGATGTGGTGGGCTGAAGGAGGGATGCAGAAGGTCAATGCTCTCTGCTGCTGGAGCTTCTCACCCAGCCTGGTGGGACCCAGAGCAGTGAAGCTCGCCTGGGTGTGTGAGCAACTTGAGCCAGCAAGTCAGTGTCTCCTGCTGCCTGAGGAGACTAGAAGTGAACTGCATTCCTCTGAGGACCTGGAAATACCTTGATGCTTATCAGGGCTGACGTCCCCACCCTCCCTGCCAGGCTCTAACCTGGGTGCTGCTTGCGGAGGAAGAGATGCTGCCCTTCTCCAGGCACTGGCAGCTGCTTCATGGCAGGACCGCAGCCCTGAAGCCACATGTGCTCCAAGGCAGCATCCCCTCCAGCTTTGCCCATCTGCCCTGGACATGAGGGATGTCCCAGCACCGAAACGTTTCTGTGCTCCCCTCTCCAGTCATCTGCCCACCTGCTACAGCTGCCTGGGGGGTCCTGCCACCGCATCCCCTCAAAGGTACGTAATCCTCAAGCTGCCAACCTCTCCTCTGTGAGACTCTCCTCAGTCCCAGGGAGAGATGTTGCAGGATGTGGAAGGGTGTTTGGGGAAGGAGGGACAGCAGCAGCTCTCTGCTGGGCACCAGGCTAGAAGGCTCCCAAAGGAGGTAGGTGAGCAGCGTCTTTGGTAGCTTTCTCCTTCCGCGGGAGCTGGAGGAGCGATGTGCTTGCTGGGCACCTGGCCTGCCCTCAGCACCCTGCCTGCCTGCCACTGGCACCACGTAGTTCTCTCCTGCCCACAGCCTGGGGCAACGGGACCTTCGGTGCTTGCCAAAGCCCAGGCTTCAAGAAGGGTACTTAGATGAGAAGATACATTCAAGTCCTACAGCAGGTCCCATCAGGTCAGAACCCTGATCTGCACTGTGCAGGGCAGCCCCTTTGCACCCCCAAGAGTCCACTCCTGAGGGAAA